TTATTTTTCATAGAAACGATTTTTGATCATATTCAGCTAAAAACTCACTTAGAACCGGAAAAAAACAACAACAAAAGCAATGTTCTTGTTATCATGCAATATTAATTCCTACATTATACAAGTGAATCAATTTTTAATGGAATTATTTGTTTTATTTTTTTTCTAAAGAAATTGGTTAAAATAATAAAATACATACTCAGCACATTGAATATAAAATTCTCATGTACTTGATTTTTTTGTTTTCTAAGGAAGATTCTAACTACACAATTTTAATAGATAAACTACAAGAAATTCTTTTAGACTAAATAGATGAATAAAATAATTAGATATGAAAATGTTCATCTATTGGATTGTTTAAATTTTAAAAATGACCAAGATCTTCATTTGGATCTTCAGAAAGTTTTTCATGCACAGCAACATGGTCTTCATTACCATGCATATCATTTTGCCATGGAACATGCCAAACACGAGCTGTCACATATGTTTTATCGGATAATTCAACCTATTGTCAGTTTAGATTTTATTCATTACAATTTGCTATGATTTTCAAAAATATGTATAATACCTTGAAAAAATAATTCTTTCCACTTACAATCTGTGTAGCTACTTGAATCGGTGTGAGTGTATCATTTTCAGATAAATTAAATTGATCTCGAATTTTCTTTTCTAAAGCTTCTTTGTACTATTTAAACAAATAAATCGATTTCTGATTTTAATAAGAATATGTTTTTTTATTACCATGTCCCAAATTTCTATATCTTCTTCATCCAATGGTCGAAGGCCATTCATACCACCACATATCAAAGAACTACAACAAGTTTTAATACAGTATATATTGTTAGATTCTTAAAAACGCAGTTACTTCATTTTAATGGATGTTGTATAAGTAACAGAATCTTGTTTAGGAGATATATTTTTAAAATCTATAATTAAAGGGTATTAACGATTTCTATAATTATATACAATAATCTAAGATTAGTTCGAATTATGACAAAGAAGAGCGATAATTAGATCCAAACGTACAATGATGTATAAATAAATAAATGTTTATTTATGCGAAATTGATAGTGGAATACTTGTTCTCTTTTTTTTTTTTACACATGATTAACTTCGACGTTCATGTTGTTTTCTTTTTTTTTCTTCCTTTATCCCAACGCTACAAATGATTTGTATTTGCGTTGATGTAGCCAATACATTTTTTTTCTCATTTTTTCTATCGATGTTGCTACTATGATGATTGAATTATCCTTTTCTTCATCACTCTTGAATAAATAGTAAGTATTTATTTTTTAGATTTATCTTCCATTTGATTGCTCTTAGCTTTATTATAATAAACTATCGATAAATACATTAAAATGTATTTTAATTTTTTGTATACAAGGAAAGTTAGAGATACAATAATAATTTCAATTAATGATATGTTTCCGTTTCCGATGATACTAAAATTCAAGGCATTCCTTAAGCTGATGTTTTCCTATTATTGAAGAGTGTTCCACTGTTCGAGAATACTATGAACGATTTACATATGACATAATCACTTTTTCACAACAGTTTTTATTTATCTGCTCCAATGTGATACACGAGCTTTCTTAATTAAGAGAAATAAAAAGATAGGACACAGTTGTGAATTTTTCGTGAAGTCTATATTCGATAGGATTGAAACTTTGACAGTAAATTCGACTACTCCAGCCTCTATTTCTGATATAAATATGAGTCCAAACCACGTTTCTGGAGAGAAATAATGGAAAGAATACAACGTGGGTGTGGATGTGGGTGATGAGAAGATATCCACACCCACACCCTCATTAATATAATCATTACAGAAGAAGAAAGTGCTAATGATACGTATCCGTTATGAAATTTTATTTGAAAAATGGATTGTATTGATCAGCAAAATACCAACTTCAACAGAGGATATCAGTCGGAAGGATTCCTTGTTTAGGGAAAAATGTTTATTTTGATGGGTCTAAAAGAACTGAGAAATAATTATATTAGTAAAGATCATTGAGTAAAACGTATGAACCGTATCTTCTCATGAAGGTATAAATAAACATATTCGTTGTTAGAGTTAAATTTTTCCATATATGACAATTTTGTAAATATGAAAACCGAAAATTCTAATCAAAATTTGAAAGAGCAATGAAACATCTTAGATTTCAACATTGATGTTTCAAATACAATATATCAAAAACGTTTTCCTTTTGTACAAGTACACAATAATGAATGGGTCCAGCGAAGAAGTTGAACTATATTTGGAAAGAAAGATATAGGACGTATGGTGTTTACCTCTTGGAATCATCAATGTAATTACATTCTTTTTCCTTCTTAGGGCCCTTAAAAATTGATCTTGGATCAGGTGAACTTAAATTACATGACATTTTTACAATATATTGAGGTAATAGTGGAGAGTCTATGGTAAAAATTTTAGTTCTATATCATGACATTTTCGGGAAATATTCAACAAACAATGATGAAAGATAGCTCATTTGTCAAATCAAAGTTCTCTGTGGACTCTCATTCTATAGATTTAATTTCCTTTTTATTTGAAAGAGCATGCCAGACTGCAATGCCCTTTTTTATAAACTCTTACTTTTTATGCGGAAAAAAAGGGTAACAAGTTAAATACAGCGAACATATTTTCCAAGTATGAAATGACGGAAATCATCGAAAATTCTGGCATACAAAAACCTGAAAGATCAAAACTCGAGCTGTCATTTCAATTTTTCTTACAAAAATGGACCTTTTTTAGAGGATCTTAAAGCTTTTTCTATTTAATTCAATCCACTCAAAGCAGGGGGGGCGCAACACCCCACGCGTCCCACCCTAGGTACGCTCCTGACACGAAGAAGTGATAAGAGAGTTTTTAACGACTTCCTTTTGACATTGAAGATGATGACGATGATGGATGGCACAAATCATCAGTAATCTCAGCTGTTGCTTCAATGATTTGATACGGTATTTGTACTGGTAATGTTTCAAATGCCGCAGGGACGTAGCCAGGAAGTTTCTGAGAGGGGGGGGCTAACTTTTTTGAGGGAGGCTGAACATGGCCAAGAAAACTTTTTCGCTGAGCGGATATAATGTGGCCGCACCTCCCTCCAGGGAATTTTTCTCCTGGGGAGGGGGCTTTAGCCCCCTCCTTATCTACGCCCCTGAAATGCCGAGTTATAAGTTATTGATGTTGTCGTTTTGTCTCGATAATCTAGTGGTGTTCTTCCAGAAGTTCCTTATATTTTATATAGTACAGTTGATTCTTCTTTTTTTCTATCAGTATTCATAGGTCGACACCAGAGAACGTCATGAGATGGGAATAATCAACGTGAAATCCGTCCTACAAAACGAATTTCACGTTGATTATTCCCATCTCATGACGTTCTCTGGTCGACACAATAAATTATGATTTAATATCCGATGAACTTCTCCACAATATTGGCTACAGTATGACAATTTATAACCATAAGGACAACCTTGAAATTTTATTTGCTTAAAAAATAAAATAAAAGAACGTTAAAGTTCAAATAAAAATGAAGTTATAAACAATAACTTACATTATACACTAAAATAAAATGCGTCGTACTTATATGTCGTGAATTATCGTGTCGCAGATTTAATGACGAAAATGCGTCGCACTTGCAATGTGTCGTATATATATTTCTTTCGTTCTGTCGGCAGTCTATTCATTGACCGTTTTGTTTTGAACGAACACATGTATATAGACAACGTGGTTGAACACACGAAATTTATATTTTTTCATAGAACTTATTCTTTATAATATTTCCCGACTATCTATTATTCGAGAAAATGCCACTCTTGGTTGATGATCAAGAGAAGATCACCCTCAAGAGGTTTGATGAAGACCGAACCACTTAGAGACTGAACAGATCTCAAGGCCTGACCTGTCCAAGTTTTCAGAATAAAAATAAATCAACGGAATAAAATAAAAAAATATATTCCGTAAACTACTTTCTAGAAAAAAATTCAATATGCGCTCTGGAGTAGATTCGAACCATGTTTTAAGCATGCGTCGGATGTGTTGTACCGTCGCTATATTTAAACATAAATTTAAGTGTTTGTTCGATTTAACTTTTTCTGACCAAAAAAAAACTCTATTTCTTCCTTCCCAATACGATTATAAAACAAAGCTTCTGACTGATATAAGCTTTTTGGTTTGTTTTATTTCTTTCATTAATGTCCACGATCTCTGTCAATCTTTGATGTAGAATGGAAGAGAGAAAAAAAATAGAGGCACATGTTTGACTTAACATACATGTATGGTTATGCATAGAATGATGATCTGGCTCAAAAGACATATCTATCATAAAAGAGAAAATATACTTTCATGTAATGACTTTGATTCAAGTAAAGAACATATTTGAGAGTTTCATAAATCCTTCTATAGTTGCAGAGTTTATTCAAACAAAGAGACCTTGTTTTCGAAATCTTTTTTAATAGACAGGGTCACAATCGGTGTTTCTATTGGGAAAAAAGACTCAAAAATAGATTCACAAAAATGTTTCAATATAAATTTTTGTTTCTTATACAGACGGAAAACTTTTTCAGCTGTTAATTTTTATTCAAACAATGACAAAACATGCAATCATTCAGGTAATGAAACAAAGTTTATCTTAAATTTCCGAGTTACACTGTTTTCTAGTTGCCATGTCTATTGACAAAGTATATGATCAGAATTACGAAAAGATGGATATTGCTTTTCGAACGTCATTCAGTCGATGACTTTAATCATCTTCTTAAATACATGTTTCTGTGTTTTTTCTCCGTTCAGTTCTGTATCAAACATTGGCAGTGATGATTGACTTAAATAAAAGAAATTAAACAAACTGAGTTATATAGCGTCGACCAAATTTTTATTTTCGAATCCTTTTGAGAAAATACAGCAAACGAATTTTTTTTGAACCATAAAAAGCTAAACTGAACAAAGATTCAAAATGGCGACAAATTAAATGTTCAGTAAAATTTGTTCAGTATTATATTCAAATGTTCAGTAAAGAAATCAAACGATCAGTACGAAATTCAATGTTAAGTAACTATTTCGTTTGTTCAGTTGATTTATTACTTGCATAGTATAATAATAAATTGATTAGTATTAAAATTAAAGTTTCAGTAATCAATTCAGTTTGCTGATTAAAAAATCCATTTACTCAATAAAAAGTAGTATTATTATCAGTAGTCACTTATTTTTTCTATGAAAGTATTTTAATTTAAACAGACGAGCGATTGTCAACATTGACTGATGATGGCGTAATAAGTCAATATACTACGTTATATGATAATCCCAGGGGTCGCAGCGGCATGTATTCAAAAATCAGGAAAGCAGACAGGAAAATTTTTAATAAAAATCAGGAAAAGTAGAATTCACTTTGATAGTAAGTTTCAAAGTCAAATTTGCATAAACGTGCAGGGAGCAACAACGGTTAACCTTGTCAGAGTCGTAGCTAAAGTAATGAATTGAATTCCGTTGAGATTTTATAGTTAAGCTGTATATTATGTTTCTTTGCTATTTTCATCAAAAAATTTTTTGTAAAAGCTCTAAAATCATTTTTAGTCTATGCTCGCTATCTTCGGGAAGATGACGATGAAATATTTTGCTCATTTCCGTAGGAAGCTACGGGTATGAGTCACAGTTCGATTGAGACTTATCTACACAACAAAATTTGGAGTATAAGTAGAAGTCACTCCTAACTTGATTTTAAGAGTAAAAATCAAGCCGTTTCGCGAGCAACGAAAAGGCATTGTTCGCCCTTCTGTTTAGAATAGAAATGATACTGCAA